CGACACGTATTTTTGTTAGTACGAAGTGATCCTAACTTTGTCGATTTTTGTGCTCTCAAAAAATCATCCCAAATTTTTAACAGATGTAAATCCGAGTTGGTCAAACTATTCGTTAGATTCCCACCGTCATCTAATGACATAGTTAAACTTATAACATATGCATCTCGTGCAACGCACGAGTAAAGAATCTAGTCAAAGTAAAAGCAGAGCTTAGTAAATGGAGTTTTGTTTAATATAAGTAAATAACATTAATTAATTGAAATAAAAAACATCAAATTAATGTAGAACCCATTGCTCTTGGTGTTTAAACGGAAGAAAAGTAACTTATGTTTGTCATTTGTTGTCTAACACTCCATTTCATTTTAGATTGGAGTACAAGTGGTTAATCCCTATAGAGACATCAACATTTTTCATATTCCCATTACACCTCTAACGTTACTCATGCTTATAGCGACGTAGAGATAGAGATTAAAAATCTCTTACATTTGTGAAAGTTTGTTTAATAGTTGTAAAATGTACTAAATAGTTCAAATGTGTTTATATTAGAGGAATTTTGACTTTACATCCCACTTTTTGGTTGATATTGAACTTAACACCTCATTTAAAAAAACATTGACTTTGCACCCCCATCATATACTAGTATATAACATTTTGTGAAGATTTTTTATGCATATAGTACAAAGTCAAAAGATTTTAAGAGAAATTAAATGTGGTGCAACGTCAAAGGTTTTTTTTTAAATGGAACACAAAATCCAATATCACGCAAAAAGTGACTCGCCAAATTTTTTATTGACGTTTTGATTCAAATGAAGATGGACATACAACTATACAAGCAATGAAATTTTGAAAGTCGTTTGTAACAAGCAATTTGTTTGCTTGGGGAATGGGAGAAATTTAAGTCATAAATTGCTTGTGAGTAAAGAAGTTTTACAAAATCAATATCAATATATATATATAAATTAAAAGAGGAACTTTTTAATAGCATACAAAGCGCCACATAATCCTGCCATGTCATTATATATAACAATTATTTACTTATTTTTATACCTTTTGCTTTTATTAGATTCTATTTTTGATTGCATATTGATATGGAAACAAAAATCCTTATAAATTCACCTTAATTAATTTGGTAAGCTTCAAATAAGTAAAATAATTTTTGGTTATCAAAGTGAAATTCTAATAACGTTTATTGATATGGAAACTGATATATATTTATTACTACACCGAATTAAATAGAAACAAATATGCAAATTAGTTTACTTATTAATTTGACACCTATTAATAAATTAGTAAGCTTCATAAATAATTAAAAATGAAATTAAAAATTATAACCAACATAAAGTATATATATATATATATATATATATATATATATATATATATATATATATTCACAAGTAAATATGTTTAGCTTAGCCAAATAAGTATTTTTTTTTGTTGTTTCTTTATTTTACACCTACACTTCAAATATGCCTTCACTTTTGAAATAGATTCCTAATCCAAATTAGAAAATCTTTATAGGTTTACGAATTCCTACTTTTATTTTAATAGAATGTTTTTAATTGCATTGATTTCAGTTCCAGATTAAATCAGATCAGATCAAACTTTAATAATTATAACAATAAGTCACATAAAAAACAGACATCTAATAGACCATATTAATTCATACCAAATCAAACCCGAAATTTTAATTCAATTAAAAACGTTCTTATTAATGAGTAAACTATAAGATCTAACAATTAAGAAATATAGATTTTTTATTATTGGGTTCATAACAATTATGTTTACTTGAGATGCTTATGTAGAAGACCAATTTAACTTTTTTTCATATATTTTTTTCTTTGTTTCACAAATGGAATATATTTCACATATATTTTTCATGATTCAGAAGATTCCACCTATTTAACTAGAATTCAATCAATTTCAGCAAAATAAGTTAATTCTATTTACGTTAGTATTATAATCAAACAGACTCTATATTAAACTAAGGAGTAATAAACTAAAAATATATGAACATGCATAAGTCACGAATAATTAAAAAAACATTAATTTGCACATTATTAAGATAATGAATGTGCATTTTACATAAAAAGTATTACATATCACAACAAAACCTATAAAACACATGAAAACTTGTGAAACTACTTGTTCCCCAACAAACAATATTCACTCCTTTGGTTCGTATTTGAGCTCTAAGAGAAGTGTCATGCATGTTCATTGTATTAATTAGCAAAACAAAGTAACAAACATTAACAACCACTAACCCATTGTTTGATTGAGAAGCAATATGAATCGGAGAGGGATCGGACAAAGGTTGTATTATTTCTCTTGTCTAGTTAGGAAAGAAATAGAAGGTCAGATCCAGGGGTGGAGACAGGGGGCTGACGGTGGCCACGGCCCCAACAAGAAAAAAATTGTGATATATTTATATATGTATAAATATTTATAAGTAGTAAAAAATATAGTGAAAATTTAAGTTTTGACCCTGCTATATAAATTTCTTAAGCCCCGGCCCCTGTAACCTGTCAATCCTGGCTCCGCCACTGGTTCGATACTTAGATCGATCGAGGAGAAAAGTTGAGAGTGAAATGGCTAAGGGTAAGAATAATTCCTTCTAAAAATTACACAAAATGAAACCTCTCGCTTAATTATATGATACGTAATAGGTTTTTAAGAAATCATATGTTGATAACTAGATACATGACAATATCACAATCATATTACTACTATACTATAGGGCCGGCCCTGAAATATAAAGGGGCATGTTCAAAATTTAAAATGAGGCTCTGAAGTATAAAACACAATATTAATGCTACCACCATTTTTAAATAATATTCTCTTTAGTTTTTTGTGGTTTTTAAGAAGAAAATTGTATGGGTAGGTATAGAGGTGTAAGATAAATGAAAAAGTAGAAAAAAGAATATATTAAGAAGAGTAAAGTAATGATAGTATGCAAACTCGTCCCGAACTATACGAACGTTTTGTGCTAATTACTGTAACTAGGCCTTATATAGCAAAGAAATTGCACAATTGTAATTAGCAATTGCATTTTAATTACATATAAATATTACTCTCCCCGCCCGTCCCATTTTACATTTCTTACTTTCGTTTTTGGGTTGTCTCAAAATAAGTTTCTTGTTTCCCTTTTTGGAAATAAACATTTCACTTTATTATACTCAAATATCAACCACAACTTATACCTTTTCAACCACTTTATTAATAATTATGTCATGCAGAATTATTAATAAATATAGGAGGAATGTAGTACTATTTAATGTTTGTATTTAAAAGTACTAACATTAGGAATCTTTAATCAATCAAATAAATAAGGATTTTGTATATTATGTAGACTATTTTTAAAATTTGAGTCTTCCACGCCCTCATCTACAACCCTGCTATAATATAATGATATTATATATTACTCTCTCCGTCCCATTTAAACGTTCTCACGCGGTTTACGACGTTTGAGTGACCATAAAGTTAACTGATCCCTGTCATTAGTAGAATTATTTTTAGTAAATAAAATTTACATATTCAAAAACAACATTAAAGCTGCTACAAAGTCTGATCAAGAAAATTTAAATTTGATAAAAGTTGGATATATAAAGTAAAAAATTAACAACAATACACGTTGACTGAAGAATAGTGGACGAGAACCTTTAAATGGATCGGAGGGAGTACTAAAGAATAGTGAGGCAACGTATGTCATCACATATGGCTCCTTAAAAGTTTAGAATTTCTTCCCATTTTGTCCTTAAATAAGTGATCACTTTTGACTGGGAATGCGTTTTTTAAAAATAAAAAATATGTAACTGAGATTTATTAAGAAGAGATGACAGAAATGTGAATAATCACATATTTGTTTACCTAAAAATAATAATTTTGGGAAAAACAAAACAAGAGAAACATTCTTAACGAACACTTAATTAACTACTCAGTCTACTCCGTATTAGTGATATCAAACGATCGAGCTTCATATAGTTCAAGTTATCTTCATTTTTATATGCAATCCATAAAAGTAGCCGTATTTATTATTATTGATCCAAAATAGGACGTTCATTAGAAACAACAGCAATAAAAATTCAAAATAAAAATAAGATAACATAACAATTTAGAGAGGGCAAAGAGACATTAGAGACATGTGAATAGTGTATTACTATCATCAAATGACGATCTCTCTTTATGTGAGTAACTTTCGAATTCGTTGACACTGTTCTGCATGTTTTCGTCAAAAAAAAATGAATTCTATGTTTAATGTGGTTGTGAAGTAAAAATAATTTGACGTGTTAAATAATACTCCGTATTATGTTATCACACGACTCTTTTGTAAGACTTTTTGCAAGAATAAATGAGAAATACTCCCTCCGTCCCTTATAATTTTGTCATCTTTCCTTTTTTGGATGTTCCAAAAGTTTTGGTACTTTTACTTTTAATCAATAAATTTGTGGTTCCTTTATTTCTCTCACCTCTACACATATGTCAACCATTTAGTTTTTATTTTAGAGAAAGTTCCCGAAATAGGACTAAAACAGTTTGAAAATTCCAAAACAAGACTGTTATATTTTATTTCCAAAATATGACTAATTAGTGCAATGTTTAGAAAATATTGTTATGTTTGAAGTCTGATACTGCCAAAATATGGCAGTAATTAATCCAGACATTCCTATTTTAGAATTTTCAAATTGTTTTGGTCCTATTTCGGGTAATATCTTTTGCACTTTTATCTTTATCTCAACCAAAATTGCCCTTATTCGTCATTGGCTCGAGTTTCATTTGACCAGAAGAGATACAACGGCTAATATCATATTCTTCCCCGACCGTTAATCATCCCCGGAGTTTTTGTGCCTCAAACGACGCCGTTGGAGTGGTTGGAGCATCTTCCCAAACTCATTTTCGCGCCCAATTCCAGTCAACTAACTAACAGAAATTGTGAACGCACTAAGATATTAGGGCGATGGATTATAGTGTGAAGAGTATACATTACTCTGGTAATTGTATCAGGATTGAAATTCTCTCGAAATCTTCCTACCACTTGAGGCGGGAAGAACTGAAACTCTATCATCATCTTCTTCTTGGTTGAGCGGTTAAGCTCCAGAGCCATTTCCCGAAATTCCTAAAAGAAGTATGGTGGTAGCGGACCCAGAAATTGTGATGATGGTGATCAGAGCAACGAGGCCAGATTTTCGCGGTCCCAGAGACAAGGTGGCCTTCTCTGTGCACGCTACTTTCATGGCTTCTGGTTTCTATCTTAACGCCACCGGCCCTCCTGCTCTCGACATGGACACCTTCTCCTCCCCCTCAAGCTCCGGTAAATACTACGATTACGAGCATGCAATTTGCGAATTGAGGCCGCTTCAAGAATATTCTGTCTCAAATCATTTCTACTAATGAATGTTGAACGATTTCTCTGATGTTATTTACGAGTTCTTAGGGTTTATGATGATGTTATATTGCCGATGTCTTAGTCTTTAGGCTTTAGCAGTTTTTTTTTTCAGAAATAGTTTTAACAATTTTATTGAAATTGTATACCCTAAGAACACTTCGTATAATAAAGTATCTGGTGATTCTGGTGTCAATTTATTGCTTAGAAGTGTTCCGCGTTTGTGTTTTTGTTTTTACTTCTTTGAAATCTCAAGTTATATGAACGCAGTGATGTTGCCTATGAATTACACTAAACTGCCGCATGTTTTCCCTTCTATTCTGTTCAGATGAGGTAGGTATCCATAATTGGAACTTCTACGATCATCAGTATGCATTTGTGTATTCAGATCCAAAACCGAATCGAAGGCCAAACAGAGTAATAGCTCTTTGTCTTGCAAGGGGTGAAAGGGGTCGTCGGATGCTGGTTGTTTCAATGAGGAATGGTGACAGCACACTTTATGAACTCGAACTGAAGTGCGTGCCTTGCTTTCCTGTTTGGAAAATGTCGTTTTTATAAATTCGACATACTATTCTTCTTGTATTCTGCATTATGTACTACATAGGTATGCCAATTTCCAAGTGCCAGAAAATTTTGGTTGTGTGCAGCGTTAATACCTATGTTCAGCAAGGAGACAACAATTACCCCTCAAAGTATAAGAATTTCGTGGAGCTGGTGCAGCTAATCGAACAAGGGGTGGTGAGAGACCATGACTCTTCAACCATAGAATCATTATCAACTAATCGGTCAAGGTAAAAGTATCCATTTTAAAAACATACAGTACATACCAACCTGCTTTCTTTTATTGTTGAGACCATTTGACTTTCTCATTTGGATTTTTTTTCTTTTAAAAAGTTGATATTACAAAATATACATCCCAAGAATATAAAAACATTTGACATGATATGATTTATTGTTATACATTAGTAAAAATATGATCAAAGCTGGTATACTAAATACAGAAAAATTCGATGTATTGTGATTAAACAAGAAAAAGAATGAAATGTGTGTGTGTCTGTGTGTATAACTTAGGATGCTACCTGTAGGTTGTTTCTTGAATGATGTATTCTATAATTATTCAAGATTGACTCATAACCCAAAAATTGAAACCAACCTATGAGCTTGATGTTTGAAACCACAACTGAAGATTTTATGATCTCAGATATTTCTGCTATTGAACTTTCAAGCTTTAGAGTTATCATTTCTTGTTTAGTGAAGTAACTTTTTTCCCATCTTAATTAGGGAAGACGGTGTTTTGTTCCCTTTGTTAATATGCCACTTTGGTCTAACTTGTATACAGTTCAGAAGAAGTTGGGGATAGTGCTTATTGTTTGCATGGAGTCATCCAGTTAATAGAGTTTCAGCACGTATGCCCTGTTCATCTTCAAGGGAAATCGATCTTAATTACACCTTCAGTCATGTTGTAGATTTATGCATATCATGTGTTTCAATACCTTGTTAATTGGTTGACTCCCAAAAACACTCTTCACAATTCCATTTTTGAAGCAGTTTTAGGTTTTATTCTTAGGTTGAAACGATATAGAGTCATGACGTGACATTTCTTCTACTTAGGTGCAGAGAAATAATCATATACAGTATTAAGTATTAACTTAGTGCTTCTTGGTTGGTCGCTTTTCCACTATTCTTTCACTATTTAGGCATTTAGCATTTCCATCTAACCGCCATGGCATTTTCCGCGCACCCAATGCTACTGAAATCTTTCATCAAAGCGTTCCCAGGTCCGTTGATTATCTTTATATCCGTTGTTCTTTTAAGGAATTTCAGCAACTGTACTTTTCAATGTATAGGCTTATAGCCTGATATTAAATTCATGATCTTCCATATCCTCTAAATTAATATGCAGATACTTGGCATCTCCATTTCCTACCATTGGGGGAATGTACATTTTTTATGGACTTCTTTTACCCAGGTTCCATAACTTTTCCCTTCTTAAATTGCAGATCACTATTCATACGTCTGTCTTATGATAGTGAGGGCAAGTCATCTACTCTTTATTATTATGTACATTTTAGTTTAAGAATTCATTATCATTATTTGTTATCTATGCAGTTATTATATGTATACACTTCCCGGTAGGAGAGGTTTTGGCATTTCCCCGGGACCTTATGTTGTTGTGTTTTTCATGCGCAGCCTTCACAGGTTCCTTAAATTAGCTTCTATTCCGTATTTGCATATATTGCTCATCTAGACTAGAATGTGATTTCAGTAAATGTGCTTCTCTGGGAAGTCTTATTTTTCTATATCCGTACTAATGTGAATGTATAGTTACATCACTTACATGACTCCTCCGGTTCCTGTAAGTTGGGGAACATACAATTTCTACTATTGGACATGGTACTGGAGATTTTACTTTCCAGGTTCTGTAACCTGCCTTACGTGCTTTTTGTCTTACATATTTTGCATCCTTAACTTGCTCATTATATTTGCATTCTATACATCCATTTCCATCAGGAATAATGAGGATGTAGGGGAGAGGAGAAAAGTTTGCGGTATGTGATGATGTTCATTTTGTAGCATTGTTGTTTGCTCATGCGTTTAATGATTTTATCTTGCAATTGATGATAATTCTTATTCATCTTTCAGGATCATAACGCCTGACCGCCCTGACCGGACCTTGAAATTTACATATAAACTGTTAATATCAAAGGTTGTAATTGTATATACTTGGGTGATGTGGTGTGCTTTGGAAGTTTGAACTAATGAATATCAAATGTTTATGCGTTGAGCTTCCACAATGAAATCAAATAACAGGGCCACTAGTCTACTTGAAATTTCTCCATATTATGACATATTTATATGCGTGTGGGGATGAAATCATGAAATAATTGGAATAATATATTTGTGGGTCGTCTACCAGGCAGGTGGTTCACTTTGGTTAAATGTCTGAATGCCATATTTGTGGAACTTTTCAAGCTTGGCTTGTATAGTTGCAATTATTATTTTCGAGAAACTGTGTCTGAGCATTGGTATTGCATGTGCTGTTTTCTTTTTGCATTGTATATGGGAGACAGGAGTCTAGGACCCCGTAACTGGTCCACCATAATAAGAGTTCTCAAAATAAAAAAATATCCCCAAAAGAGTAAAAACAACATGTAACTGTTGTCCATTTGGAAAATACTGTCAGATATGACTTTAATTATGGCTTTGATAATGTCATAATTTTGAAAATAATGTCTATTAATGCCAAAATATGACAATAAAATTTCGGAATGACATAATTTACTCTTATTTAGAGAAAAAATCAGAGTACTCGTGTTTTGGAATAAACATGATTTTGACTCCTATTTCAAGAATTTTCCTCCATCACATGAACTCAAAAATGGGAAAATACTCTCAAATAGTTTTTCTTTTTTGACATAAACTCACAAATAGTTGAGTAGTATAACTTTTTGAATTGTTTCGGAGGCATCAGAATTCTTAAAAGAACATAGAGGAAACATTTATGAATTGTTTTAAATGCTAAACTACAGGCTGTGTTAGACCCCTGATTAATTTACTGCGTAAAACTGCTATGTTGGTCTTGAGTTTTGCATTGAGAAGAAGCTGACCAATTTAATAATTGAATCTGATGGTATGGGAGATATAAACCTGAATCAGGATAATGCCCTTGATAGACGGACGATGTGCTAATTATCAACAAAAATTCAAAATTTTAGGGAAGGCACTAAATATGGACTGTTATTTCTAAGGTAGCTGGAAACCTATGGGTGTAAACCTTTTGACCCCCTTGTAATATAGTAAGCCTATGAATTTACCTCCTTTTCATCAGATAATAAAGTTTGATGCTTTTTACCGCATGCTGAATCTTTAAATGTTGTTATCTTTAACTGTATTATCATTAGTCATGATAAATCCTGTTTGAGAGACAAGAAATTCACTATATACAAGAATACAAAGCATTGAGTTCATCTTCAGTTGCTATCACTTCCTCATAAATGCATGAATGGGTCTCAATGCTCTTCAGATCATCACTAATCTGATTTCCCTTGGAATCCATGGTCAAATAATCAGTCAAAGATTTCCTTGGGCTTTTCTTGCACTCGGGCATGAATCGGTCAGAATGCTTAGTCAAGTCATCCACATGAAGAAGATCATCAATCCGTACTGTGATATTAAAAGCCAAACTTTGCACAACTCGTGAATAGCTCTCTAGTATAGATTTGCCAATATCCTGGTGAGTGGGGAGCAAGAGGAAAATTTAGTCAGTGTAGAATTCTGACTGCAAAGAGTGAATGAATCATTTAGAATATGTAGTTTGGGTCACAATATGTTTTGGAGAAAAATTAGAAGAATGTTAGTGTTTTGTTAAGTTTGGGTTTTCACCCTATACTGAATAAATTAATAGTAAAATGAAATAAAATTAATATTGCTCAATAAATACAAGCACTTAAATAATGTGTTGAGTTTGTGTATCTCTTTCATTTTCTTCCAGATTTTATTTCCTCTCAAATCTCATTTATCTTCTCTACTATTGATCATACTTTCTTCTGTTAGTATGTTTAGGGCTCCAAAGGGACACTTGAAAAGAGACAGCAATTGGAACCTTGTTATGCTGGATTTTACTCATGTTTAGTGTTGTCTGAGGAAGCCCTGGAAACCGTTTCTTCAAGCAGATGAGAAGACTTTCAGCCCTATATGCAAACACCTCTCTCTTGGTTGCATCAACCACCAACTCCTTCACCATTTCCCATGAGAGCTTCATATTTTTTGAGTTAGTTTTTTGGCGCCAAATGTGTATCGAAGCCTCCAACTGGTTTGCTATCTCGAGAGCCCGATATTGGGAGGACAAATTTAGGCAGTCAAGAAAAGACTCAGGTGACCATTGATCCGAGAAGTTGCATCCATTGATAAGCTCATCTAAGTTTGCATACCCATTCTGCAAGAAGAATATGTTAAGCGGGTTCTTGTTATATCATCCCTTTGCTGGAATAAAAAATCAACATATAAATTGTTGAGCCAACTAAATATGGAGTATAAAGTATTAAACTAACTCATGGGACTTGAGTTTTTTATAGCATGAAATTTCAAATCGTAATATGTTATCAAAGTCAATCTAATATATGGTCATGATGTGGGCCTTCTATGAAAAAAGCACGATCCAAATGAGGTGTGGGACAGTGAAGGTATCCTCTTTTATGATATAATTACACGGTTAAGACCCCACACCATGAAGGTGTCGCCTTACCGAAAACGGAATATTGTACGGTCTAAACGAGATTTTGGGTGTAACGAGTATTTGGCTTTTGAGGATGAAATATCAAGTCTTAATAGAGTTCACATATTTCATACATGGACAAATTCTCCCACCTTAGTAAGAACATCAAAATATGTCTCTGGCACTTCCATTTCAGCTAGAGTCCCAGAGTTTATAGCCATTGCTGCATTCAGGATCTGACTTATGCAATTCCTAATGTGCTGTAACTGCTTTCTTGCATTCCCGCTAAGACCACACGTGGGGACTCGAGGAACGGGCAACCACCATTTCTCCTTTGGTGAACTCTCTGACGCTGCTACAATACCTTCTTGATCAACATACCAGAACTCTGTTTGTTCTAAGCTATCAAGGATATCCTGCAGAAAGAACACTGGATGTGAAACTATGATTGTTATTATTGGTACAGTATACTGCAAGGTAAAATGGCATTTATCTTACAAGGATCATATTGTCAAGCTTGAGAAGCGCGGGGAGGTTGACGTAAAGATCTTGCCTTGGTCTCGAGGTCATGACCTATACCCACAGAATAGTGTCATGGACATGGTTGACATATGACAAACTCGTCGTTGTCCCAAACCCCACAGACTTGATCCTTCCATGGTCAATGAAATTAAGCTTGGAATCATATACTATTGTAAGTAACTTTTCTAAAATTGATTAATTTTATTAATTGAAAACTATTACTAATACTAATGATTGGAAAGTAACACTAATAGGAAGAACACATGTCGTGTCACCTCTCGCTTGGATCCATCTGGGAATGTTTGCAAGGATGGACTGAATTCAACAATGTAATCGCTGACGCTAAGAAGCCATTCCATTTTTCTCTTCCATGTTAACTTCTTCTCAGAGGTCAAAGGCTCTAGTCTACAGATTTTCCCAAAAATTGTTGCTGACAAGGAGGAAAGAAAATTGATCATACAGAAGAAGCAGATGGAGGGAATAAGTGGAAGATCAGTGATGCATTCTATATTTTAAGATCAAGAAGAAGATTGAGGAGGGTGATTCCCTTCAATCAGTTTTTGTTTTTTGTTTTTTTGCAGCATACCAGAAAGATCAGTGATGGCATTAGAAACAGCCAATGCTGCAGAAACGCCATCTCCACCACCTAACATATCTTGTCCGAGGATCAATTTTGAGAAAGTTTCCTTAAGCATCTCAACCTCTGCATTTTAAACCAAAGTTCAACATCCATGCATAGAATGAAAAACCAGAAAGAGATATGATTTCCTTACCAGGTGAAAGTGACCCTTGTTTTTCCAGCTTCCTGTCATAAAAAGAGGGCAATGACAATGAATCTTTAGAGCTGCTGTGTTCTTCATCATTACCAGTTGCTTCTGACTCAAAAAGGGTAGAACTTGAAGTTCTGCTCTTGTCCCCGCCCTTCAGCTCATCATCTCCCAATTTCCACTCCACTACTTCAAAATTTTCACCCGAAAGCTCCATCTTCCCTCTGATGTGAATAAGTGATACCCAAAAATCAGAGCTGTTTGCTATTATAGTGCCATCATCTTATAGAACTGGAGTAAAGTTTATACACTCTTGAAGTTTTATTTATTGTATGTTTAATGTTGATGGAGTAGAAGCTTCACCTACAATCAATCATGTTTTAATGGTTTCTTTTTTTAAGAAAGAGAGTATGAGATTCGGATAAAAAAACAACGAGTAAACAATAAAAGGGTGTTTTTTGTTTGAAAAAAAGTGAAGGTATCCACGTATTACTATGTACTTTGTTATAGACAAGTATTTGATCTAATGTAATTTAAAAATTGTTGGGGTTTGCAGCATACCCAAATTTGAACAGGCGGGAACTTTTTCTACTTTATACTACGTAGTTTATACGGAATAGTTTATAATAAATCTTTGTCTTCTAGTTTTTGTACTATTTAAAAAGTTTCTAAAAGCTTCTAGTTATATGTTTGGCATGATAAATTTTAAGAGCTTTTCAAACAATAAAAGATCTTTTTTGAAATGCTATAAGGAGTAACATCTCAGAAAACTCTGTGATTTTTAGCATTAATTAATCTCAACAGTTTGCATAACAAACAGTCACCTTTTTACCAAACAGCTACCACCTTTTACTTTTAAGATCTTTTCGGTCACTAAAAGCTAACAGTTACTAAAAAGTTTATAAAAACATTTTTCAGCTAATTGTGTCAAACATACCATAAAGCGTTTATTGTATAAGAGTAATTTCTTCAAAAGAAAAATATTTGGAAATTTTAAAATAGGAGTATTATATTTATCTTCTCTATAACTTGGATGTCATATTTTGATAGTATTGATCTTTAACATGGTTCTATAAGTGGATTTTTTATACGTGATAGTAATTATTCATATTTTGACATAATAAGAGTTTGAATTTTCTCAATGTAAAGTGACAGGGGATACAATTACTATGTATAATCCAACATTTGTACCTTATTGACAGCTAATAACCAAATGGTGGGTTTAATTCCTTATTATAGTTTACTTTATTATACTCATTATATACGGAGTATCATCTTCGTATGGACATTTAAAAAAATTGGCACGTAAGAAACCGTCCTATTTTTTGGCTTGACAATATGATGGAATAGAGCAAAATGTCTCACTAAACTGTTTGCGCTTCTTTGTTATAAAACAGCACTAAGTCCATGCAATTTTGGATGCAATTTTCACTCTGGATCATCCGGAAACAGTCTTCTTGTGCTTTAGTACAGGGATAAGACTGCGTAAATCTGACTCTCCCTTACCTCACCGTAGGTGGGAGCCTTTGCGGCACTGGGGTAATGATGATGATGATGTAAGAAACCGTCCTACCTCGAAAATTTTTGGCCAGATCTGGCCCGTCTCATCTTGTAAATGAGACGGATTTCCCATGTATACAATTGGTGGGTCTATGTATTAGTATTGACCTGTGCCACCCCACCCTACTCCGCCCCACTCAATATATATATATATATATATATATATATATATATATATATATATTAACATTTTTAAATTTCACTTTTATATTTTAATATTATATTTGAACGAGATGAACCATTAACTATCAACATCATTTTTATATATACCATTTTATATACTTTTATTAATATAAATAGATTAATTATTTAAGTCAAAATTGTTTTTTATTTCTTAATTTTGACACTTTTCATTGTATTGTAACTTTGATTTATTATATACGTAGTATATATTTTTAATTATTTGGAAATAAACATTATAAAAATTCAAATTATAACGACTTCACACAAATAAAACATGATAGGGTGAGGTAGCTCTTGCATGGGGCAGGGGGTAGCTCATGCATGGGGTGGGGCAAGGCAGACCCACTCTAGCATGGGGCGAGGCGGACCCGTCCTGCATGGGATGGATCATGGGTAGACATGTAATGACCCATATGGGTCACGGAGCGAGTCCACTTAGTACAATCACGAGACAAGTCTCAATTTTGCACTACGCGTCTCTACTCATTGTCATGCGCGTTTTACGATTACAATCTCACTAGTCCCCATTTATAAACTTAGAATATGACTCGTTCAATACACCCAATCATCTTTATTATCTGATTTTGTATATCAAATTTTATATGTGGTTTAATTTAAATATCGTAACAATTTAGAGCCTGTTTGATAACACTCAAATTAGTTGAATTGATTGATTGTGACAAAATTGATTAAGTTCTAGCAGAAGCGACTGAAATGGCTGGATTTACTGAAATAGGGCAAGGCAAAATGGTTTTGTTTAACCGAACAAAATAGAACCAAACCGAAAATTAGTACTTTGATTTGGTTTAGGTTCACTTAGGTACACCATTTGCTAACAGTTTGATCAAACCGAATGATTTGGTTTCGTCTTAAATCGATAAACCATAAATCGAACCAAACAACTTTTAATATTTACAAAAAAAACTTGCATCTTCATTTTTACGATATAAATAAATAACTTAGATATGAAAAAAATGTGTTTATCATATACTCCGTATCATTTTAACTTGTACACATTTCAAACATTCATTATGACAAAACCGGCTAATAAAACATACTTGTATTTGTTACATTTTGTACTCTACATGCATGAAAACAATATTCGGCAATAACAATAGCACATTGTATTTATATGAGTTTCAGTTAACTAGAGTACAATATACATTTTACATTATTCATTTAAATAAAATTCTGAATTTTACAACACTTGTACCGCCAGCTCATATAATTTTCTTTGAATATTTTATGTGATATTATAAATGATAATCAATTATAAACTCATCTTTTGTGAGAGGTGAGTCTTTTTTTCTTGTGGTTAAAAAGATGTTAGACATTTTCATGTTATTAGTCTTAATTAGTGAGACAAATTTAGGCGTTAATTCATAATATTTTATTATTTCTTTTTGTATCTTTTACTTCCCTTCATATTTTTTTAAAATAAGTAAAAAAAGAAGATCAGCCAAACTACTATTTTCATTTTCACTACCTAAAATATAGAATTTGATAAAATAAAATAATAAACACATGAACTCGAATCAAATCAAACTAAATTGAACCTAATAATATTTACTTTGGTAAACTGAACTGAAACCAAATCGGAACACAAGTGATTTTAGTTTGGTACAATTTATATCTCTCAAACCGAATAAACTGAAATTGATGAAAACTGGACCATAACCCGAATTGCCCATCCTGAAAACTGACTTATAAAAAAATTATATCTAAAATGTATTTTGTTAAAAAAAAAGGAAAACAAATATGAAAATAGCTAAAATGATCATTTATAGTAACTTCAGTTAATACATCCTGAAAAATAACTTCAACCTTACTTATTTTGATTATTACATAATTCAGCGCGCGAAATAAAAAATTACATGTTTGATGAAAAAGTTTGGATAAGACTTGGATGTTGTTGTTACTACTCTTGTGAAAAAGTTGGCTAACAAGCTCGATAAATCGAAAGTAACAATTCATGGTGTACACATAATTTGTACACACTTGACACACATTTATAAGTAATTGTCTGCACAGACAATTGCGTATAAATGGGTGTCAAGTGTGTACAAATTTCGTACATAAATAGAACTTTTCTTACACAATGTATGATTACATAAAACTTTAATTTCAATATATTGAGAAGAGAGACAATTTTATGAAATAATTATTGATATATGATCAAAATAAGCACAGTAGATACAAATGATTTTTTATGCTCATTGAGCATAATAGTACACCACATCTTTTTGTAACTGAGATTACTCTTAAAGGGGCATATTGAATATGGATTGTGATGCACTTTATTTACTTAATGGACTTGTAAAAAAGTCAATGGACTTTTAAATTCATAGACTTTTTTATGAATGAATTCTATTGACTTTTAAATTCATGGAAAATTTTGTAGACTTTCAAAAAGTTCATAAACTTTTAAATTCGGACCACCACTGCTGGGTTGTCGAAATTTTCACTACCAATTTGTCAGTCCGCCTCCGTCATTGGAGTTCGCCGCCATCATCATCGGACTAATCCGCCACCAATAAAATGACTTTGGTTATGCAAGGGAATTAGGGACAATTCATTAATTATATATTAATTTTTTTTTATTGTATTTAATTATATATTAATTAATTAAATTAGGAGTGGAAATGTAATACTAATATCATCATTATCATCACTAATTATATTAATTAATTAAATTAGGGGTGGAAATGTAATACAAATAATTAGTCCTATTTAAAGAAAATCAAACATATGATCAGACTTTGGAAAAAATGCTATGTTTTAGTCGTTCATGAAAATCTGTATAATATGATACGAAACAATTAAATTAATAAATGAAATAAATGTAATTAATCTTGCAACACAGAGTTCTACAAGAATAAATGAAGCATTAGAATCCAAATTTATTTTTATTTAAAAGAAAAGTCAAAGTTTTTACAATGCTCAACAATCTCGGTCTATTTATGATCAATTGTTATATTACATAACTCAATGAGTAAGAACATTAATCATTACACAAAAATTGCACTCATTGTTGCATGTGGTAGCGGTTTAAAATATTTTTTCCTTAATGGTTAACTAACAGCGTAACAGAATTGCATCGATGTAATAATATTGATTCTTATATCGGTTCTTCTAAAAACTACTAGAACGAATCAATATGGGATTAACGGTTCTTCAAATGATTCCTAATTTTCTTTCGGGAACTGAATCAATCTCACCACTACATTTTTCTTCGTAAGAGGTAAGATGACATATAAAATATCACTTTTTAATTTTATTTATGTTTATCTTGTGCATCAGTTTTAATGTAGAATCTTCTTGTTCAACTTTTCTTATCGTAAAATGATAAAAAAATCAAAATTTAATGTTCAAATCTTGCATATTGAGACCATCCCGGTACCCACCTTCCGACTCGCCCAGTACTGGTCTAGGACTTGTTGGCCGGTTTGTGATACAAGGTAAACAATTAGCCAAATCTACAATTAGATCTATGCGTACTTGTGGTGAGTAGAAGATAACAAAAAAGTTCACGGAAATCTTTGGTGAAGAGAAGAGACAATTGTAGAGAATTATTTAACTAAGAAAGAGTTAAAAGTCCATAAAAATTCATGATTTTAGAAGACAATAAGAATGAACATAAGTTTGAATATGTCTAGACCTTTTATAGACTTTTAAAAGTCTATTGAATACACCTAAATTTTTGTAGACCTTTAAAAGTCCACATTGAATACACATAAACTTTTAAAATCCATGAACTTTTAAAATTTAGTCACTAATTTCTAATATAGTACACCCCCTAAGTCTTAATATTACACAGTACTGCCAAATACAGAGTATGAGTGCTAAATTATTCGTGAAATGCGACATTAATAAGGTGCAATTACGATGTTTTCTTTTGGAGTGAATTTGTTGGTCTGGTCTGAACTGATCTGATCTGATAAACATCTGGTCTCTATTTATTTTATAAATGTTCAAGTCAGGTCTGATATGTTTATGTCTGGTCTAGTCTGGGTTGGTCTGTTTAAGTCTTATCTTGTCTGAACTGGGACTGAAAACCGTCTAAAAGAAAACATTCTTGTCACAATTACAATATTATCCAACCATGAAATTACATCTATTCTATTTAACACGGAGTAAAAAAAAATTAATCTGGTTTTCGACAAAAGTATAATGTGATGTGAAAATCTTAAAATGGCCTAGTCCCAGCCTGGTCCCGGTCCACCCTTAAAATTATGAAGTGGCCGAGCCGGCATGTATTATTTTCACACGATGATGATGATACATTAGTAATGAGTAATGACATCATGATGGTTTACATCATGTGATTAACCCACGGCGGACGTGCTATTTTTAAAGGATGTTTAGGCGAATACCCAAAATTTTGAAAATAAGATGTAAAAATACATTTATAGAATTGATATAAGAATTTATATAGTGTATTTTTTATACAATATTTGTTATCCTTAATCTTTTATCCTAGTTTTTGTGGGTGAAAAAATTACAAAAAAGAATTGTGTTATCGAAAAACATTATAGTTCAATATTTTAACCATAATTTTTTTTGAACACCCAATTTCCGATTGCAAGATCCGCCACGGGCGATAAACAACCCTGCATTAGTCACAGTTTGAAGTTTTGAAAAGCTTTGTATTTTGACCATAGTCCCTCCAAGGGCAGATTCTACGGTGCAACCGGCGCACCATGAGGATGGTGCGTCCGGTTGCAAAACGACGCAGTACCAGGCCTGACTCCATTACTTTTTTTTTTGCTTTCCTTAATATAGAAAAATAATTGTGTAAATCACAATTTATCTTAAAATTGTGTATATAAAAAATTTATTGTATTATGTATTTATATATGTGAGTTACATATTTTTATACATAAAGTTACATATTTTTACACGTAAAGTTACATATTTATACACACGAGTTGCATTTGGCTTGCCTGAACGCGAGTTACGTATTTTTACACGTAAACTTACATATTTTTACACGTAAACTTACATATTTTTACACGCGAGTTACATATCTATACACAGGAGTTGTATTTGACCTATCTGAACGCAAGTTACATATTTTTACACGTAAAGTTACATAGTTATACGAGTAGAGTTACATATTTATACACTTGAGTTAAATTTCGCCTGACTGAATGTGAGTTACATATTTCTACGCGTAAAATTACATATTTTACATAGGTTGATATAATAGTTCAATAATATATTAAAATTACATGGGCAATATTAGTCTCATTTGAAAGATCATGAAAAATAAAAAATGTGGATATAATTTTTATAAAAATCGATCAAAAACAAAAAAGTTATTAGAATTTTTAAAAAAAAAAAATAGATGCAAAATAAAGAAGCTACTTGACAAAAACCGTACGGCGGTATACCGGTCATACCGGTCATATGTAATTACGTATAACGCCTGCCCTCCAAGGTCCAAACCAAATATTGTGCCGCATATTATACTCCCTCCGTCCTAATTTGTTTTGCAAAATTTCCTTTTTTGGTTGTCCCAAAATGATTTTCTACTTTCTATTTTAGGTATGTGAATAAAAATAAATTGACAAATTTATCCTTACTTTTACTTTTTCCCCATTAACTTAAAGGCATCTACTTTTAGAAAGATGAGCAAAAGTGTAAAAAGCAAACATCATTTATTGTCATTCCTTAATTATTGTGTCGGTCAAAGTTTGCAATTCAATTCGGGACGGAGGGAGTACTACGTATTCAACACCGACTTTTGAACAATTGAATACACGGATCCTATTTGACTGAACTCCAATTTTGATCTTTACCGAATTCATATGGGAAACAAGTAAAGTAAAATTGGACTGAGCGGGATTTATTTTAATCTTCAAGATTCCTACTTTCATTTGTCCAGGCTTTCCTTGGGTATGACAAAATAAGATTCTCATTCGATTCTTTTCAAGAAATAATAGTGTGATTGACATTATTTATTGCCTTTAAATGATTTATTCAATTCTTAATTACAGAAACCTTACTCTGGGGATTAATGGATCAACTGTTTTCTATGCTAAATTGGAACTCGATCTTTATCATACCTAGGGATGGACTAAAGCGGGCTGGCCGGGCCGGCCCGGAACCGGCCCGGCCCGCTACTGTGCGGACCCGGATCGGGACCGGTTGGCCGGTTCCGGGCTTTTAGCCCGTTTGGGCGGGTCGGGCGGGTTGGGCTCGGGCCCAGTTTTGGGCGAACCGGCCCAGGCGGTTCGGGCCGGGCCCGGGTCATTTTTTTTCAATTTTTTTTCTTTTCCTAGGGTAGGGCTGGGTGTTTTGGGGAGGTTTGGGGGTGGGGATGAGGGGGGGGGGGGGCTCGGGGGATAACAAGAAAGCAAAAAAAAAATAGACATTGAATCGGGCCCGGCCCGGCCCAGTTAGGCCCGGACCCGGTATCAACCCGGGCCGGTTCCGGGCCCAAGGATTTGCAAAAAAAGCCCGCCCGGGCCCGGCCCGGGTCCATCCCTAATCATACCATTTATTCATGTGCACCTAGGGGTGGGCAAAAGACCCGGTCCCGTTGGTCCGTTCCGGAACGTTCCGGTTCCGTTCTGAAATTGTCCCGTTTAATTCGAGACAAATTATTTTTGTCCCGTTCCGATCCCGAACCGTTTCAAAGCAAAACGGGACCGGGACAAATAAAATATGTCCCGTTCCGTCCCGTTGTCCCGAATTCAAAATTGTATATAGTTGTGGGTTAGTGAGTCTACCATCAATTCAAATACTAATGAATATTAATTAGGTATTAGTTATCTAATATGTAAAACACCTAAAGGAGTCTAAATTATCAAGTATATGAACTATTTTCTACGTACTAAAAGGAAACCCACGTATACTCCACATGTTTCACTTCTAATAATATTGTTTGTCTTTTTTTCTTTACAGTTTCTTAGTAATATTGTGTGTGTTGGAGTTATTGTTGTTGTTACAGTTTGTTTCGTGTAACTATCCTATTAATCTACTATTTTTTGTATTGCATTTATGGTAAAAAAAAATTATATGTTGCATTTTTAGTGTTGTAGTTTTTTGTCATGAAGTTTTTTTGGAGCTGTATTTTTTTCGCTGCAATTTTTTTGGGATGTCCCGAACCGTCCTGTTCTGTTCCGGTACCGGTTTAAAAGGGACAATAGCGGGACAATGTCTTGTCCCGTCGCGTTTTGTCCCGTTATCCTAAATAGGGTTCGATACTGGGATAGTCTAATTCTCGTCCCGTGCCCACCCCTATATGCACCACTCCAAGACAATAATTGAGAATTTTCATTTCAATTTTAATAATTTAAATTTAAAGTTTTAGTTGCAACAATTTGACTAAATTGTATTTTGACTAACAATATATTCATATATTCTATAATTGGTACTCCCTCCGTCTCAAAATCATAATCCCGTATTTCCTTTTTGGGATGTCCCAAAATGATGGTTCTGTTTTCCTTTTAGGAAAGAAATAAGTGATTCATATCATTTCACTTTATTATACTCAAATCTCAACCACAACTTTTACCGTTTCAACCACTTTATTAAAACTTGTGCCCAAAAAAAATGAGACTATCAAATTGGGACGGAGGGAGTAATAATTTTAAAATTCATATGTAGATGTTTTACATGGAGACAATTTAACAAGAATTTTTCATATTGTGGTTTACTAATACATTAGTAAATAAAATGAGATACGAAAGATGATCAAAGTAGAATATAAGACAATTAAACAGGATTTTTTCATATGGTTCATTAATACATTAATAAATAAAATGAGATATTAAAAGGTGATCAAAGTAGAATATACGAATAGTATAGAACCGAAAACATATAAACACTTTGGTGCTGTTTGGTTTTCAGCGGATCGGCACCATCCCGCTGCTTTTAGCAGCGTTTTCATGTATAAAAGAATCAGCGGATTGATGCTCCCGCTGTTTATCCAAACGGACCCTTTGAAAGGGATGAGCAATGGCACAACATTTAATTTCCTCATACACAATGAAAAGAAGAATGTCTGATAGGGGTGGGAGCAAATAAAGATAACATGAGAGATGGTTAATGCCATTAAGTGCAAGAAAACTGAAAAAAGGTCTTACTCTTTATTCTTTAATCAGAATGCAAAGAAAGCTTATATAGGGAAGGAGAAAGCTTATATAGGGAAGGAGAAGTGGAGAACCAGAACACAATCTTCCTAGCTTGAGAGACAGAAGTACCCCAATGGATATTATATGTTGAAAAAGATATATAAATAAGCTCATGTCTTGTTTATGTTGAAAAAGAACTCATTGCCACAAAAGCTCTTTCCCTTCTGCATCAGTTCTTGTGAAAATCTGGATGCTTCACAACAGTCACTGGGCAGGTCGCAGTTGACAACACATAGTTGGTCACACTCCCCATTATTATCCTGTCTCATCACCTCCAATATTAGCAATATGATTAATTAAAACTATAGACATTGAAACTGATTAGGGTGAAAGTACCAGGAGTATCAGTTTATTCACTTTAATCCTTCTACTCTAACTGCATTCAATTCTCTTGAGTATCAAGAACAGTTATTAACATTGTTAACTATGGCTTTAAGCTTTTATTATGTGGTCCAGATATCACTTTTGTCATGTGACAAATGCTCATTTGGATAAAAGAAAATATAGTAATTGTCTTATATAGGACTAAAATCAAACTTAATTCCCTGAATAAGACTATAAGTTTTTAATTCCCTAAATAGGACTCCGGATTACCATTATACCCTCCTATATAATAACAATCCCTAACTCCTAAACACTCATCCGCCTCATTCGATCCACTCTCACTGCGCCTCACCCTCTCTCACGTAAACATCTCTGCCGCCACAGCTTGTTCTCCATCATCACCACCACTTCTCTACGCCGCCGCCTCTCTAGTGACGCTGCCTCTTCCACCATCGCTGTTGATTTTGCGCCAATTCCAGGTATCTTCTTCGTCTTCCCTTCTTCTTCATCTCCTTCTCTTCCTTCTTCTTCTTTGTCCGCTATTTTTCTTATGAAAAATCATATTCGCCTGGAATCATTTTTAATTTTTTTCTGTAGATTTTTTGTTGATTTATTTTCTCATTTTTCGGAATTGATTGTTCTGATTTTCACACATAGGCTTCATAGTTTGATTTCATTAAACTTCTTTTGTTTAAAATCTGTTTTGTTCTGGGTTGGATGTTGTTTGCATATTTTGTCATATTTATGGCAATTATGTGTATAGTGGCATGTGGCAATGCTACGATGGAAGAAAAACTTTTCTTTTTATACACATTTCAAAATATTGCCAACTTCATGGCAGATTTAATAACTACATTATGGCAATATTTCCCTTTTTTCTATTATTTGGTATCGATTTTTTTATCTACGCACATTGACTTCATACTTTGATTTCTTATTTCATCATTAAACGTCTAATTTCATTTAAAAATCAGAATGATCTGATTTTGGATATTGCCTGCAAATTTTGCCAAATTTATGGAAATTAATTGGATATTAGCAATTATATTGTGGCAGAAAAATACGGAGTATTTCTTTTGTACTCATTTGAAGATTTTGCCAACTTAATGACAGTTATGGTACAAGTTTTGCCAACTTAATGGCATTGATGGTGATGGCGCTGGGATTTGCGGTGGTGGTGGTGGTGGAGGGCGGTGGTGGTGGTGGTGGTGGAGGGCGGTGGCGGCCGGTGGTGGGCGACGGCGGTTGATTGAGGGTGGCAGCGGCAGAGTTGGTAGAAGGCGTCAGCAGCCCGATACCGTAGCTAGGGTTTTAAAAATGTCTTTTGATTTTTAAATTTCAATTGTAAATATATCATTAAGGGTAATTCTGTCAAACCAATGTATTTTTAGTCCTATGAAACATGTAAGTCCTATTTGTGCATTTATTCATTGTTTTAGTCCTATTTAGGGAATTAACTCAAGAAAATAACAAGAAATTTAAATATGTTAGGCATTCTACTAATTCATTCGTTTTCATTTACCCCAATGCCGCAAAGGCTCCCACCTAAGGTGGGGTAGAGGGGTCGAATGTACGCAGTCTTACCCTGTACTAAAGTACAGAGAGACTATTTTCGGATGACCCATAGTGAAAATCGCGTCGAAAATTGCACGGACTGACTGCTGCTCCATAACAAAGAAGCGCAAACAGTTTAGTGAGCCATTTTGCTTTATTCCATCATAATCTCAAGCCAAAAAATCATGAATCTTTGGCTCCATTGCAAATGATGGAAAGTTAGGCATTCTACTAATGAGCTTTCAAAATTCAAATGATACTACCTCCACATCTAAAATTGGTACAACAGGGAGGGATGCAGTTATTAAGAAAAGTGAAATTATATGGTTAATACTTAATTGATAAAGTGTGAATAAAGTAAGAATGAATTCCAACGGAGGGAGTATCTTTTTAAAATATTTAAAAAAAATTACCAAAAAACGATTGATCATTCAAATGCCAAATCACAATCAAATTGATATGCTATTAATGAAATCAGGACCATATAATGCCAAAAATTAAAGGAGATAGTTAATGTCTGCTTGATTGTACTAAATTATACTACTACACATAAAATAAATTGAAGACATTTAAAGTAGTAAAGGGACGCACTAAAGTGAACATAGTTATACATCACATTAGAGGGAGTGAGGGACCTTTCAGGTATTTGACAGCGATATCGATCAGCTGGGGAAATTGTTAAGATCTGTTATGAAGAAGCAAATGGAGTAAGAAAAATAACCTCTGCAGGGTGCTAAGGCCTCTGCTGCCCATAACCAAAGAGTCCAACTTCAGATCTTCAGTTGCCTCGATCAGCTTCTCCCTTGGATCACCCAAGTACAGCTTTGTAACTACGTTTATCTGCACAAAAATCATCCCGCTGTTTTTATTTATTTATAATACATACTTAATATTCATCATCATCATTACCTTAGTGCCACAAAGGCTCTCCCACCTACAATGAGGTAAGGGGATCGGATGTAGACAATCTTACCTCTCTGATATAGAGACTGCTTCCGGAAAACTCATAGTGTAGTGAAATTCGCGTCAATACATACGTAATATTTAAAAAGAAATTTCCTTAATAGGAGTATTACATGTCTCTTTCCTAAATGTGAGTACTACATTTTTTAGCCTATTAAATTACTATCAAACTGTCATAAGGGCATCTCCATCCATAGGATTATGGATTATATTTGAAGATTAAGTTGGTGATATGGCGGATTATTTTTGGTATCACGATTGAGTGATGAAGATTATTTGGTGAGATTATTTGACAAAATAATCCTGGATTGAAATATGAATGAACGGTGAATTGTGTAATAAGAGCATCTCCATCCAAAAAGATCAGATTATTTTGAGATGATGAATGGTGTAATTTAGAAAGTGTGAGATTATTTTGAAAAAATCTACGTGTCAATCTAACTCAATCTAACTAGCTGGATGCTCTAATCTGACATTATGATGCAATTAATGTGACATACTTTCCAAGCATAATAACAGTAACCACTCTTTTATTAGTGAGTTTTCTGTATTAAAAACTTTATTCAAAGAACCATTTGAATTGAAGACCTATAAGCAAAAAAAAAGTTGAAGTTAATCAGATTGAAAAGGGACCTCTTTCTGCCTAGTAGAAGTATCAAGCAAGTCCAGAACTTCAATATTAGTCTCAATATCGTACTTCTTCATCACCTCCGGCTCACGAAACTCAGACAAGGGGATCAAAGCTTTTCAAACACAAGACCAAAATCAATTACTGTAATTGATTAATCAATAGATACTTAACATCGAATCTGGAGAAAAGCAGAAAAGAGATAGTAATTCCTTGATGGACTTACGAGAGCCAGATTCAGACCACAGCTGATTGCGAGATTCGTGAGGAACATGGGATTTGATGTGGATAATAACGAAAGTGTCGCCTTTATCGGCTAAATTGTCGATTGCCCATTTAAGCGCCGCTACGCTGCTCTTCGAGAAATCCATGGCGACTCCAATCTTCCTATCTTTCACCATCTTCTTCTGCTGCTCCTTTCTCTTCTTGCTTTTTGTGCTAGCTGAACACCGCCCTATTATAGAAGATGGAGTTGCTTCGCGAATCACGCAAGGTTCAGTGTTATTTGTGTCCAAAATACAAATTGTGCAGCTGCTTAATTGTTTGGATGTTTTCAATTGGGAAAGAAAATGTCAAATCTATTTTGTTACTCGTACTAAATAGACACATGAATATGAAAAAATATATTATAAAAAATGTGTAGAAATATAAAAATATTACAAAAAATAGTGTAGGGATATTAAATGGAATATAATTATTTTAATTAGATTAATAAATTTTTGTTATGGAATAATAAAGAATAAAAAATAGATTGAGTTGTAATTTAAGTTCAAGATAAAGAAAAGTAAAATTGCAATTAAAATTTTACTATGTTGATGGAGAAGGAAGAAAAGAATTGACGAAAAGAAAAATAAAGAAGAAGAAGCCAATAAAAAAATGATGCACTACATAGAAGAAAAAGAGAGAATGCAAATACGTAGTATTTTATACGATGTAGTGGGATTGGTACATCGTGCGCATAGTGTAACGATCTCACGGTTTAATTTGCGCTCGAACATCGAGAGAGAGCAGACCGCCATACCCTCTGGGTTGCTGCCCAATCATTCTTCCACGTCGGCCGCCATCGCAACTTCCCTGGTGTATTCCACATGACAATGTTCGCCATTTCCCCAAGTTAGACTCGTTCGCAGGTCAGAAGCCTTGCGACTTACAGACCGAAGCAACATATGGTTGTCCTTGTCACAGGTTGTCTTCATCGTTGGTCGCCTTCGACGCAGCAAGATTCACCCAATCACGAGCTACAAGATTGAACCTCAAAGGAGGAAGTGCCACGCCCCATACCACATTCGTGCCATGGTCGTACAAAACAACGAAGATCACCGCAATTCATCCCCAATGAACTGCACAAGGCATCCAAAAGATTCATATATCAATCCGGTCAGCAAACACATATAAAAAACATCAATACTAAAGTCAAACATATAGTGTGGGATTAAGATGTTTGAAAATAAGCCACATGTGGCAACATGAGCACGCGAGCTCCAAATATTTACAAAATGTTGTTTAAATTTATATCCATGAACAATTGCATTGTTTAAAAATAGAAACAGAAAGCACGGTCCACATCTTCCTATTCAGATGATCACCCGGTACAAAGCTGCAGGAAGCACCACTCTCCTCTCAACCTGTAGAATAATGAGGGTCCTTGAAGGGATTTGTACTGCACCAAAATGATGTATTTGTGACATGCAGGCTATATGAACGATAACTAGTGTTTTGACTATATGACCCAAATATAGGGTGATACATATATACACTAGTGTAGACTACCGCTGCCTTAACCACAAGATGATACATACAGTAAATACTTATAAAAATAATCTGATCCGCAGGTCATTTTTTTAAATATAAAAACGCAATGAAAGATTTGTCGTGAAACCTCATCGTTTCCCTGAAGCTTTTCCACAGTTATCTAGCCCTCAAGCTGTAACCCGTAATCATATTTCCCGAGTGGTTTATGGACTGCCACAACCCTGGGCCACTTACTCATACCTATGAATGCTTTGTGGATTATCACAACCCTGGGTCAATGTAACCCTCGTACTTTTTATCGACTTCTTATGTGCTAATTAATTATATATGATCATGTTTTAACTTATCGTTTGAATGCTATATATGTGAAGTATATAGATATCATGTGATTATGATCTTGGTGATAATTGTACTTGAATTATATACTTGAAATATGTTTTATCATGACAGGTGACGGTACCCGATGAGCAACGAAACGATACCGTAATAATCATTTTATTTCGAATGAAATGGTATATCAAGTTAGTTGTCATGTTAGATAGTATTCGGGTGTTTAAATATTAAGTTTAAATGTCATCGGGGGTCAAGGGTGTGATCGGCCAACAATCGGGGTGGGTTTAGGGTGAAAAGGGGCATTTTCGGCACCAGGGGAACCCCGAACCGGCACCGGTCTGGGCCCAGATCAGCGCCGGTCCAAAACAGAACGTATGGCCGTGAAAAGGCAGGGAAACTGGCGCCGGTTGGGCCTTAACCGGCGCCGGTCGGAGCAATTTTGGCTAGTCGGTGCAAACAACTATTTAACGGAGAAAAATTCTTTTGACCCCAAATTTCGACCTTGTTCATCGTCCTCTCTGTGAACCATCCTTAAAACCTTCTCCAAGTGATTCAAGCTCAAAATTAAACCTACTTTTCATCAAGAATCATCAATTGGTAAGATTTTTACACCCCACATAAAGTATTTCTTTTATATTTGATCTATGGTTCTTATTTTTGAATTAGACTAGGGTTGATTGATTTTATGTTGATTCTAGGAAAATTAAGGGATTTTCTTAATAATAAGGTTGTTATGCAGTTATTGTTCATCCTTGATTAATTACCCTTGTAAAATTTAAATGTCCGATTACCCCGAAATTATACCCGATTAGAGATAAGAATTTGGGAGTTTTGCATACTCTTTTAAGGATGATTTTAACCGGATATCTAGAGTTTGGATATTATACTAAAAATTTGGTTGGTATTGACTCTTGGATGTGAGTTTCAATCGGTGCTAGGTTATCTAGCTACCCCGAAGCTATGCCCGATTGGTTGTAGGAATTTGGGAGTTTTCTCACTTGTAGGGACTGATTTATGAACTTTCCCTCATCTTTAAGTCTAGGGATTTTTTTAAAAGACAAGAATTTAAGTTTGACTAAAGTGTAAATCATACTAGTATATATATATTGTAACACCCCACCCAGATCGACCCTGCCGACCCGAGCGGGTTGTCACGTACTAGAAAAACCGAAACAGATTTATTAAAAGACTTATTAAATTAGATCCTATTTAAACACTCTTTTTTTTACCAAGCATAATTTATTTATTAAATAATTCACAACTAACCCAAAATGAACATGAGTTTATTAAACAGACATAACGCCAATATCACAAAATTCATCTAACTGCAGCGAAAGGTTTTTACAAAAGATCAAAATGTAAATTTTAAGTTTATTTCAGAATCCCACAAAACACACCATATGCATATGAGCCCTATGCCTCCTTCCATCCCGATGCTTCAAGTTGATCCTGCGCTTGATCTACGGGTAGGAAAAACAACTACCCGCTCAGCAATGTGCTGAGTGGTACGGTAATACACATATAGCATATCGAAACATATAATGACATATTATAATTAGCACGTGATCATTAGAACAAATAAACATATCTGAATGAATAATGTAATTCAGAATATTCATATAAAGAACAGAACAAGTTCAGATATCTGACTATCAGATAAATCATGTTTTTAACATGCATCATTAATCAGACATATTCATTTAATTAGCCTTAAACTCAAGAAACTGGACCTAGACAGTGGAATACTAACGGTAAGGAATACAATCACGAAGTGTGTACTCACATTACCGAGGAAGGATATGGAAACGTAATCGCCGGAGCTACACGTACCAATCCCTAACAAAAGCTAGCTGAACAGAAAGGGCGGGATCAACGAAGAGACCCGAACCTTAACAGGAGAGTAATAGTGTTCTAAAAAGATTTCAGGGGTGTACAGAGTACACTAAACAGGAGAACACTAATTCCTCTAAAACAGAATTTCAGGAGTGTGCATAGCACACTAAACAGAACAGGAGTATTCACGTCAGAGTGCCAGACCAAGAGTAAGGCATTTACCAAAATAGTACTTATCTTTTATTTTAAATTACAAAAGAAATCGTGTATATAAATCATTTTCATATCTCTTTTTTTTTCAGCCAAAAAGCATGTGACTTTTTAATATATAACTCTTTTTTTTCAGCCAAAAAGCATGTGACTTTTTAATATATATACAGTAACCAATGATTAAAAAAAATATATACTACGTACTTAATATTCCATTTCTTAATAATATTATTCTTAATTCGACTTATTATATATAATAATATTTCCTCTAAAATGATTTTTTAAAATTTAATAAGACACTTTTACTAGAAAAACAAAACTAGTTATATTACAATCAAACTAGTAATGTCATCACGTAAATACATGCATGCATATCTAAACATATTTTAACAAATATTCCATTCATAATTTCAAGTAAGTGAATAAAGGTTGTTAGCTAAATAACATCTAATTATGTAAAGTAAACACATGTATATACTTAATACTAACATAATACATAGATAATTCCCTTACTGGGACAAAATATATCGTACTCCTATATCTACGTATTATATACTTTATAGTTTCGTAAATATTAATTAATGGTCATGCATGTTCTAATATATTTAAATACTTACGTACATATTAAAAGTACATATCATGCATCCTATATTGCTTTTTAGTAGTGTTTGTTTAAAATAATGGTATTACGTATACTTATATATATACATAGTATAAGTTACGTAGTATTAAATATAAACTACATACATACAGGTCATATATAAAAAGAACATTAACTTTATTATACTTAATATACAAATATGTGTTTAGCGAATGTATTCATGTTACGTAGATCATATATTGGCCAGTTACATAAAAGCATCTAAAAACCATTTTACTAATTACACTATGTATGACTGATTTTAATTCTGCCAAATTTTACATACGTTAGTATGTATTCATCCCCATATAAAATATTAGTATAAATTCAAAGAATACACTTTAAAGCAGATAAGATAACACTAAATTATACAATGTTATCATCCCCATAACGTAACAGGAAACGGGGACGGAAAATAATAATATTAATACACATTAATCTAACTGGGGCGGAAACGTACTGACCTGAAAGTAATAGATGTTAAAGTAAGCAAACTTTCACTTTCCTCCTAATGTTACGATTTGCAAGGCCAAATGTGATTTTAGGATGAAAAGTTAGGATGCTATTTATAGCAAGAAATTGGGATCTTTCTTGAAATTATCCATTGCCACCTTTCTTAAAATTTTGACACTTGGCTTAGTTTTATAAATTGATTAATTATGAGACAACACCTCATGTGATGAGTCACCCAATTGATGATGCTACGTAATTGTCTCTAAGATTGATAGTGTAATTTATGCATTTTAAATTTTACATCCTAAAATCTTACTAGTAATTAAAATATGAAAGGTAAATTATTTTATGCTACTTTGATCATATATATATTTCACTAATT